GGCGGCAGAATATTTGACATTCTGTTCTCCTCAAAATCTGTGTTCTACTGCTCTCTCACCACTCTCTCTTCTACTTCTTCACTTTCTCTTCTCATCGAATCTGAAACTTCTTAGTGATCAAGACTGATAGCAGTCTTGAACACCAGTTATAACAATTTAAATATTTCAAACTGATAATCCATATCAAGAATAAATTAGCAAGGGATTCTTCTAAAAGCATGTGTTTTTCACCTGGATGACACTTCTTAATACAGTAAAAGAGAACCACAAGAAATAGGGATGGTGAGTTTTTTTGTGCAGAACATTGAAGAGACAACAAAAAAGAAAAGAAAAGAAAAAAGTTCATTGCATTCAGCTACCTCATCTGCGGTCCTTTTTGTCTTCTGTAGTGTAGATGCTGAGAATTTCTGCATTGCAACACCTGCATCAAACCGTAGTGTGTAGTTTGAAGGTGCCAAATGGATGGCTCTTAGTAGAGTCTTCTTGCAGTCTTGCCATTGCTCGGCCTCATAATGAGTTCGAGCCAGATAAAGGAGAACTTGAGTGTCTGTATTGTAATAAAACTTCCTCAAGCAATTTTGATACTGTAAAATAGAAAATAAAATCACCATAAGCGAATGCAAAAAAAGAAAAGATCAAAGATATAAATAAAAACAATCTATGTAGATTTACCATTTTCACCGCTAATGCAAAATGACCTTGAGCAAAATAAACATGAGCCAAATTAATCCATACATCTGGCATCTGGACAAAAATACTTCCACTTGCAGCTTCTTGAACCTACATATCAGTGGGTTATCACAGAAATAACTGCTAATTGCTACTTCAGCATGAAACGGAATTACCAAAATAAATGATCAGTTTAACTAACCTGTGTAAAAATATCTTTTGCAACATCAAAGTGGCCTTTTTCTGCCAAAACCACTGCTGCACCATTGGCGGCATATAAATTTGCAGGTCGTTGAACCAAAACCTGCATAGTGTGGAAAAGTCAAGGTACATTTTTCATTTCAAACAAAATCCTATTCATAAGCATGGACATACTAAGAATACAAAACAGTAACTGTAAAGAAAGACCAAATAAAAGATGAATCCAATACAGCAACAAGATCGAGAATTAATCATTCAGGTTCATCAATTATGCAACAGATTGTACTCCTCCCCCTCCCAGCAAGAACAAAAAAGTTTATTAGAAAAGAATGGGGAGGAACAACGAAACTCCTCGTACAAGAACCAATAAAAATCAATGCAGTTCCCTAAAGAAAAAGGCTAAAACAGATTAGTTTATAACCTTCATTTCGAACAACTAACAGAAAATGGAACATCATCAAAAGTAACTGATTACGACTCTCAAAGCACCACAAACAAACCATAGGAAGGCAGGAGGGCATCCACTGATTCTTTATCTTGTTTGCATTTGAGCATATATTGGTCGCATGGTTTAAAATGTAACTAATTTCCCTAATATTTCCATGACATATTTCCATTTCCATGGGTAGATACAAAATTTTACAGAATCGATATATTGCCCAATGAACACTACCAACACTATGTGAGGTATAAGAGATAGTTTCCATGACATATTTCCATTTCCACTTCCACTTCCATGGGTAGCAACATGAAACTTTACTAGAATCAACATATTCCCCAGTGAACACTACCAGCACTATGTGCAATACAAGACAAGAGATGGTATTATGACATAAGTTGGTGACAGTATTGTAGATATGTGGAGCAACAATGTTATTGCCTGCCTAACTTACATGGTTAACACTTTCAGCTAGCTCAATATTCATTTCAAACATGAAGTTAAATATTAGTTTTTGTTTCGGTAATAGATTATTTGGTTGATCTATTACAACCATTTAAATATTGTTGTAACTTGTTCTCTTGATAGAAATAAAGAGAAAATAGAAAAGAAGAGAGAAGAGAGAAGAGAGAAACAGAGAGTGCAGAGGCAAAAAATCTAGGCTGGTGGCGACACACTAAACAAATATTAAAAGGTAAAAAGACCACAGTACCCCTGCAACCCCATAATACATTAAATATTAACAATTTTAACACTCCCCATCAAGTTGGGACATAGATGTTAATAATGTCCAACTTGTCACACAAGCCATTGTGCTGCAGATGATGAAGGGCCTTTGTGAAGATATCTACAAATTGTTCTTCAGAGCTAGCATAGGGAGTACACACTTCTCCACTCATGAGTTTCTCTCTAATGAAATGCTTGTCTACTTCAATATGTTTAGTTCTATCATGGAGAACTGGGTTGGCTGCAATGTTGACAGTAGCCTTGTTATCACAAAAAAGTGACATGGGACTGTCAACTGCAAAACCTAGTTCACCAAACGAGCTCTTTATCCACATAATCTCATCTACTCCATGGGACATAGCTTTATACTCTGCTTTTGCACTGGACCTAGCCACCACACTTTGTTTTTTGCTTCTCCATGTAACTAAGTTTCCTCCTACAAAAGTACAATATCCACTAGTAGATAGACTTTCTGTCATCTATTGCCACTACCCAGTCAACATCTAAGTACACTTCCAACTTTCAAATGCCCATGTTTCTGGAACAACAAACCAGCACCTGGACACTTTTTGAGGCATCTAAGACTCCTCTCAGCATCCTCAAGATGTGTGGTCTTGGGATTATGCATAAATTGACTGAGGACACTCATGACATAAGCAATGTCGGGTCTAGTAATGGACAAATATAATAGCATGTCTACAAGTCTCTAAAATTGCTTCACATCTTTTATAGGTTCTCCCTGACTATCACCCAACCTATGCTTCTAATCAATTGGTGAATCAACCGGCTTCACTCCTAACTTCCCAGTATCCTCAAATAGATCTAGAATATATTTCCTTTGGGAGATGAATATCCCCTTTTGGGAGCGGGCCACCTCAATTCCAAGGAAATAGTGAAAAGGACCCAGATCTTTCACCTCGAATTATGTGGCTAAGAACTCTTTCAATTTATGTATTTCTGTTGTCTAGTCACTAGTAACTACTATGTCATCAACATACACAATTAGGGCTGCAATTTTTCCTTCACCCTTCACAAATAGGGTATGGTCTGATTGATAATGTTTAAACCCCATTTGTTGTACGGATAAATGGAACCTGTTGAACAGACCCATGGGGGCTGCTTCAACCTGTACAAGGATTTCTTCAACCTACATACCTTCTGCTCACTACCTTTTGCACAAAAACCTGGGGGTTGAACCATGTACACTTCTTCTAAATCAGCATTCAAGAAAGCATTAAAATTCGAAATCAGATGGAACACTTAGAACTCCAAATGTTAGGACCATATCCAATATGCCCCCCTCCCAAGACCCCAAATAGCTAGGACCAACGGTAATGGCCTTTTTTAGATGGAATGCTTAAAACTATTGAAACTTTCATTAAATTCAGTTTCACACCAAATCCATATATATAATACGTATAATTCTGAAGCCAACAGCATGGCTGATATGCTAACAAAACAAGGGATAAACCAAGGGCAGTTATTCTGGGGTCAAATAGAATAGTTTTGTAAGAAGAGAAAAAGCTCTTAACATGAGAGACTTGGAAGTTGAAGGGACTCAAGAGTAGTAATAGGAGGTAGTATAGAAATATAGATGTCTTAAGAGAGCTACAAAGACTAATAGAAAAATTAAGGGCAAAAGTGGAATGATAACCAGATTGCTAAATTGCTAATGTTCTAGAAGATGGGTTGGTAGGGCAAGGGGTATCAAGGGATTAACCGTATTGGGGGAAAAGTAGTTCAAAGGGGGATATAATTGTAGCTGTAAGAAGGTTAACTGGGGCTAACTTCCCTAAATGGGTGACCTTTGCCAAGCTGTAAGCACTGTTTACATGATAATTCAGTAAAATACATAATTGTTATTCATTAAAAGGAAGTGTTGCAAATAGTAACAATTCGATATATAAATAGGTATAGATGGCCTCCTGAGCTACCGAACCACAGTGATGCTTGGCATCCATGTAAATATTCCATTTTATATATTCTAATAAATTGTTGTTATCTATCAAAAAATACCTATATTTCGTAAGCCTTTAAATAGTAGCAAGGAGAAAATACACAAAAGAAAAATGAATGGTGAAAAGAAGAGCACTAAGTGGTAACAAATAAAAGAAAAGATCACAGTTCGCAATATTGACAATATTTGGAGATATGTCCCTGAAATATCCCCATTTGCTTGGTGGCAATATGAAATATTTCGGGAATCTGTTTTCCAAATATCCCTGATATTTTGCCGATATGATAGTGATATTTCAGATGACATTGATAAACTATATATTTAAAATTTTAGAATATTATTTAAAGCCTTTAATATTTCATTAAAATCATCATAGTTTTTTAAAAATATTTTCCTAAAAGAACCAAAAGGGAATTGGTGATTGGATAATTAGCTTATTACCTTGATATGATTCACTTACTAAGTCACTATAATTCAAAAGAAAAAGAAAACTGCATATAACTACAAAAACATATTTGTAATCTAATCAAAACATATAGTAACAATAAAGACAAATGTTAAAATGGCAAATAATTGACATATATAAAGAAGATAAGATGGCTAAAGACCAAAAGGGAGACAAAGAGAAACATACCCATTATAGTCTCTTAATTTTTCCCATTTGATTTAGATAGATCTTTGCTATGGTTTGAGCTTTAAAGGTGCAAATATATTTCTTCTAATGATCCCTTGAAGGTTTATTAACAAATTCCATGTTTCTAGAAAACTTTCCTGATTTTTTAGATTTTCCAAATATCTTAGCAAAATTAGCGAAATATCTCCTAAATTTCTCCAACTCTACATGGTGTAATGTTCATCGATATTGAAAGTACAAATCATGGAAAAGATAACACTTCATACTTTGGTGTACAGTTCCTTAGCTTTTTCCAGATGGGTTGCTTCCAACTTTGGACCCCTTTTCTCAGAACGGACAGCCGCAAAGTAGTTCCAGTTCCCCTGAATAAATTCAAAACAAAAGTACAATATTACGATGCTTGTTAGACGGATAAAGATGACATATGATACAAGATTGTCATAACAGCTATCCAAAAATACTATTGAAATAAAAAATGAATGAGTGCAAGTATCCTCTGAAGGAACTAGTGATGAATAAGGAAAGACCAGTGAAGTTACACAAAACTTTATAATCTAATATGCACTGCAGAAAATGTACAAACCAGAGAAAGAGTAGCATAAGAGTCTTTTCCATCAGTTGCTTCTCTAGCAGCACGGAAGGTATCTTTTGCCTTAACCCAGTCATCACCCTTAAGCTCCAAGTTTCCGAGCATAGAGAGAGCATTTGAGCACTTATCATTTATCTTAAGAGCATCTGTAATCTATGACAACGAATTATCTCATTAAAGATAAGTACATGGGGTAATTAAAAACCGGGGTAAAATAAAAATTAAAAAAATTAAAAAAAAAATAAAAAAGATCATCAAGAAGGGAAAACATACCAGCTCTATGCTTAGCTGAATGTTATTTCGGGCTTTTGTAATGGCAGCAAGCCTCATATAAGCATCCAAATAGTCTGGGTACTGTAAAGAAAAGATTTAGCCATCAGAACAAAGTTTCAATTGGAGAAAACTACAAAATTTCATATTTTAACATTCTTGAAAGCCTTGCACATAGTGGTAAAATGTATATATTGTAAAAATGCCATACTTTTTTTTGATAAATAAAAGAATGTCATACTTATTCAAGCACATTCAGCTAACAACTTAATAGTGAACATGGAGTTTATATAAGAAAACAAAATAAAACAGCATTTATATTATGTGGTAAAAGAATATTTTGTACAATGATTACAATTCCATTTAGTCAGGCTAAAACCTTCTACCTGACCCCTCCTTGTTTGGAGAGTGACAAAATCTGATTATACAATTACCCCCAGGTACAAACTTTCCCTATTCACCCCTAGCCTTCCAAGTGAATCTGCTACACTGTTCACTGCTCTGTGCATCAAAGTAAAACTATGTTCTAGCCATCTGAATGGTGTCTCAAAGTATAACTATGCTGCCACGTACCTTTGGATTTGTTTTTAAACCACCTTATCAATGCTTTAGTCTCCTTCAATTTCTGTATTGTACACATTTTGCATTTTACAAATTTTTAATCTTTGAAGTACATCTTGCAATTTAGCTTTGTGGAGTCTCCCTTACCAATTGGACCTGAGTAGAGAGCCATTAAGGAACCTGAATTGTCTCTAAGAACTCCCCCAACATCCGAGGGTCCTGGGTTTCCAATGCTACAACTCCAAATTAATATCATTTCACCCAAATTGTTACAATACATCAAATCTACATTATCAACATGTTACCCATTTTTAAATATCATTTCACCCAAAACTGACATTTTAAACATTGGCAGAAATAATTTTTGTCATTACTAAATTTCATGCTACTTGTGAAATTAATATTGAGTGCACACATGAGTAGCAAGCAAACAAGACACACACACACACACACACACACACAGAGAGAGAGAGAGAGAGAACCTTAAACAAGATCAGCCGGTACAGAATACTTGCTTTTTCAGTGTCATGCAATTGCTCAAGTAATCTAGCAAGATTGAACACTGTTGTAACTTTATCCCATGGTAGCTCCACAGAAACACCATCCACCTCAAGTCGTTGAAACAATTGCATGTCCTTGTATTGACGGGTAGAGACATCAGAATCCATGGTAGAACTGAATATTTTACCATCCATGAAAGAAAGCCAAATACCATCACCCAATGCATCCTTGAAAGCTTGTTCAGCCAACTGGGAAAGAAGAAACAATTAATGTTATCCTCAAGTTATTAAATGCAGCATAAAAATGGACGTAATGAAAGGTCTTGAAGGCACTCAATGAACATGAACATGCATGTGTTAACCTTCAAATAACAAAAATGTAGAGATTATTCCACACAACAGATGTGATTAAAACAAACAAATCTGGGATAATATTTGCATACCTCAAACTCTCCCCTTTCAAAATGAAGAACTCCAATATTGTTCAGCAGTTCTATGGGAACCTCCTCACCTCCCTTTTTAAGTAGAGTGCGTGCCTATCAGAATACAACAAAGTATGAATTACAGAATAACTAAAAAACAAATTGAAAAAAAAAACACTATGACCATAAATAAAATAGACAAAAAACACAAATATTACTTTATCACATTAAAAAATCAAGTAAGAAAAGTGTCAGATACATATGTAAAGAATAGTGATATTCATTCTATAGCAACAGAAAATAGAAAGAGTAAATAACAGCAGTTAAAATATCATTAAAAAGAAGCAGCAAGGAATGTGGTGGTTTATATTGAAGCAATAATCTTTAATAGAATTTCAAAAAAGTAAAGTCAGTTAAGAATTGAATTACCCACCATATACATGCACATATAACATGATTTAGAGTCATATTTTGGAATGTTGTTCTGTGAATATAAATCTGTTCTGACAAATGGTAGGTTAAAGAACAAAACCAACTGTTCAGGAATGGTCAGCCATTGTTCCATCTTTAACACTGCTTATTCACTTGTGCATTTCATTTCTTTGTTTCTTTCCTTTTCTTCTCTTTCTTATTTTGGGGAAGGGAGGGAAGATTAACCTGAGGTCAGTCCTTCTGGGAATGAATAGAAGTAAGACATAAAAAAGAAGCCTATTCAACAGACAATTAGACAATTAGGCCAGTCCTTACAGGAATGAAATTTTCTTTTTATACTTGTCAAAAAAACAGACAATTAGACATTCCTAGAAACCCAATGATCTTTTATGCATTTAATGCTAAGTTTCGAAAGAGTACAAATACAAATACGTACAGTACAAACACAAGATTTTGCACTCTACATATTTGTATTTGTACTCCTTCCAAACTGAGCCTAAGGTAATTGATTTTCCCACCAATGGCTAAGCATAATAAATTACTACAATTGGCCACTGTTTTCAAGCTTGCACTACCAGGAAAATACACTAAAACTCACATCAATCATTCATCAAATAACATAACTGCATTTAGCCCTAAATATCCAGTATTAAAATATAATTTCCTAAACAACTAGGCCAAGACATGTTCTACCAAAACGACATTAGCAAGACATATTCAGAAATCCCCTCCATATATAAAATGATAGACTAACATACTGGCCAGGATAACAAAGGGAAAGCTCTTACAGTTCTGAAAGCCTCTAACGCAGCTCCAGCATCAGATGATATTAACAATTCACCCAGCTCCAGAAACGCCTGCACCATAGTGCAAGGTGTAAAATTTTAGAAATTTTACACTTGACTAAAAATTTAGAGACAGAAAGGAGATGGAGCAACATTTTAAAACTGCAAGGTGTAAAATTTCTAAAAATTCAAAATAATATAAATTCAGAAGAAATGCAAACTTAAATTTTAAAAGAAAATAAATGTTTTAGAAAGCCTATACAGTCAAATTAAAATACATAAAATAACATATAAAACATATTCGAAGTGAAAATGTAGAAATAAAATTAAACATATAAAACATTTTCAAGCACTCAACAGTTCAAGCATTTAAAACGTTCAATTTGTTTATTTCTCTCCCAATTGCATTACTTCAGTTAGCTAATATGATGCAAAGACACTTTGCAATCCTAATTCTACAAAATCAGCTTTCCACCTCTATAGCCCCTTGTGACAAGCCCAAACAGTCCATGTGAGGATCCTAAATTTCTGGTTCATATATAAAGAGATTGGTTTTGTGATGATGTGATTTTAGTTGCAGTTCATTATCTTTTAGGAATAGGAATCAAATGTTGTTTGATGAAGAATGTCTTGTACTAAGGACTTCTGTAAAAGTGTGTGCTATACATGTATGCAAGTATTAACCATATATAATATATAGGTAATTGGATTTAACTTTTATGACCTGCATGGAACAAAAGGGAAGTATCCACTTTATAATAGTATAGATGAGAGAACAACACTAGCACAAAGGTGGCCACTCTCAAACTTGAACCCACTTTCTGATGCTTGTAAGCACAAGGATTTACCATGGGACCAAGCAATATGAGGCCTAATCCATCTCTCTACATAAATTGAACCATCTGCCAAATCCTACAAAAACTTCGTCTTCAGTTTACAAGTCCCAGACCACACCTTCCTACATCAATTGGTATTAAAAAACCTGCTTGCAAAATTTCCCTAGTCTCCATACATCACAAGCAACATACAAAAGAAAACCGTGTGATGATAAGGCAAACTACCTGTGCATCACGTGGGTCAATTCTTGTTGCTTTGCGGAGAATCTCCAAGGCCTTGTCAGTTTGGCCAAGCTGAACATAAATGTGCCCCACGGCCTGCCATCAGCTAGATAGATAAATTATCTAATGAAATGATAAAAAAAGAAACTTAAAACACAAACACCAATTCCCTTTTATTCTGACTCACTTTCAAAGTTTCACAATTCTCAGGGTAAACCTCCAACACCTTTTCAAAGTTAGAAAGAGAGCTTCTAAAATCCCCCAACTTCAGTTGGACTTGTCCAAGACCTATTCCAGATTGAAACAGTTGATTAAGGACAGGATAATTAATGAAAAATGAATGAAAACAAAAAAGAAAGAAAAAAGAAAGCATGATTCACAAAATGAGAGTTCCAAAGTGCTGATTGGCTATAAGAAGCATAGTGTCAATAGCTTCTTTTCTTTTATAAGCAACAAATAATAGATTTTATTAAATTGACAAATATAAAGTACATAAAAGTGAAATGATGGCCAGCCTCAGCTAACCAATTCAGAAACATTTTCTTGCTCACATGTATATATTACATCAACAGAATAATTGCACTGGCCACTAATGCATGTCAATACTGCTTTTAGAGGCATCTGATGTTTGATGCTTAAGCTAAGTTGTTCCGGAGCGCATGATTGTACACCCTCAAGGCACATATAGCATTAGTATTAATTGACCAGAGGATATCAATAATTTCATGGATTGTGGGTCACAAGATGGAAGAGACAAATAAAGAGAACTACAAAGGGATATGTATTGGGGGATCATCCCCCAGGGAGGAACATGTAATAAACAAGAAATGATTGAGATAAGGGGTCAAGTAGCTGGGGCTAGCCTTAACAGTTAAAAAGGGGTTCTTCGCACTTATTTATAACCTATTCTATTTTTCATTAAAAAAGGGAAGCCCAGTGCACGAGGAACCTTCCGAAGCAGGGTCTGGGGAGGGACAGATGCACGCAGCCTTACCCCTGCACTGCTGCACATACAGAGAGGCTGTTTCCAAGATTTGAACCCTGGTCAGCCAGGTTACAATGGAACAACCGGACCATTCCACCAAGGCCCATGTATTTGTAGAGAGGAGGGGTAGTTTTGTCTTTTTGTATTCTATTGCATGCTATTATGTAGTGTGCACACTATACAGCATTGCACCTTACTGTATTTTATCTTCTCCTGTAAAGATAGATTTCCCTAGAACCATTCTTCAATGTTCTGTGCAACCAGCAAGAGAAATCTTATTAGATCTCTCTTGAGAGATATCATTTCGTGGTAAAACTTGATTGGGAGTGTCACCTATTCTGAAAGTTTCATCAGATTTGAACGAGTGAATAAGAAGTTTTAATCCTTTCTCTTGGGCGGAAGCAGGTTTTCTTTCCTTTTTTGGACTGTTACTTCAGATTTCAGTTTTCTTTGTGCTTTGGACACCTTTTGTTGGCTGTAAGAGGTTTTGTCTCTTCTCTCCCAACACTATTTGCTTGCTCTCGGTGATTGTTTTGCTTGTTTCCCTTGTCTTTATCTATACTTTGTTGATTATGAGACCTGTAAAAGGTTAAATCATCTCAGTAAAATTTGACAGCAGAAACTATCCACTTTGAAAGGTTCACTTCTAGTACTTTGTTGAAGGGAAAGGAATGTGGGGCTAAATTGATGATTCTACTGCCATGCCCGATTCTAGTAATGCAAAGGGGCTGACGCAATGGAAGACAGAAAATGCACAGGCTGTGTCTGTTCTGTCACTATTGATGTTGCGAGTTCAATAAGGGGACTCAAGACTGCACATGACATGTTTGAATACCTTGAAAAGGTCTATCAATAGTCAAATATGTCCAGACAATATCAAATAGAGTTGGACATATTTCATTATACTCAAGGGGATAAAAGAATTCAAGAATACTATGCTGGTTTTGTGAATCTTTGGACTGAATATGAGTTGGTTCACCTGGAGATTTATCAACAAATTGTTGTGTAAAGGCTATGAAGAAACACTTCGAAAAGAGGAATGTTATGCATTTTTTTATGCACCTTGGCCTGATTATGAAACAACACGATCTAGCATTCTTAGTAGGAAGACAGTACCAGATTTGGATGATATTCTTGGTGAGTTATTGAGAGAGGAAGCCCAGATTCTTACTCAATCCTCTCTTGATAATAAGGAGCATAGCATGAATGAAGTTTTTATAGCTACCAAACAAAAGAGGAAGAAAGATTTTTCATATATTTATCCTATGAGTGTAAAGAATTTGGACATGTGGCATCTCACTACAAGAAGAACTGTTACACCTATTGCAAACAAGAGGGGCATATTATTGTTGAATGTTGAATGCCCAACTTGGTCTCCCAAGAAAGGACAGCATAAGCCTTCCAAGTTTTGGCTAAACCATCAGATGCTTCTCCTTCTTCTATTTCAGCTCCCAAGGCAGACTCTCAGGGTTCTCTTACTGAAGAAAAGATTCAACAATTGATGTCCTCAGCTATTTCTTCTACTTTTTCTACTATAAGTTTGGCTGAAGTCTACTTATTTATGTTCTTCTCCATTTCATATTTAGATAATTGATTCTGGAGCCTCAAACCATGACTGGGCCTTCTTTGGTCAGTCTCCCAAACCATGTCCTACCTATAATCACATTGTTACCGCTAATGGTGAAACTTTTCCAATCTGTGGTTGTGATGGTTTATATTTGTCCAGTTCCCAATACAATCCCCTTCATCTTCCTGAAACCCTCTTTGTTCCTAAATTGACTACTAATTTGATTTCTATTGGACAACTTGTAGATGATGGTAACAATGTTCTCTTTTCTCGTGATGGTTGTTTTATCCAAGACCTACATACTAGGTAGCTGAAGGAGGAGCATAGGCTTGGACATCTATTTGCTTTAGAACTCTAGGACAAGAGTTCTCCTCCGGCTTCTTTTTGTTGTCTACTACTTATAGTTCTCCCTTGTTTCTTATAATAGGAGGTTCTCGAAGCTCCGGTACACAAAAAAAGCATCAAAGTTTCAAAAGGCGCCAACGGCACACCTGGGCTGAGGCGCAAGGCGCACCAGGCGTGCACCTTTTGAAAAGGCTGCGCCTAGGACCTGGGCAAGGCGCCTACCTTGAAATGCGCCTAGGCGCACCTTTTAAATCACTGCTTATAATATGTGTGGCATTTATGGCATAGATGTTTAGGACACACTCATGCTGAAAACTTGGATTATATGTTTTGTTATGGTTATTTACCTGTTACTAGCTCTTCATTTAAGAATGTTGATAAATCTTGTTTGACTTGTTATAGTAAAAGTAATGTTTTGCCTTTTCCATCTTCTTTTGAGCACTTCTATTCCTTTTCATCTTATACATAGTGATGTTTTGTCATCTCCTATTATTTTTTACTTAGGCTATAGATATTTTGTGTTATTTTTTGATGATTGCACACGATATCCATGGGTTTATTTTCTTCATAAAAAGTCTGAAGTTTTTCCCACACTTGAGAACTTTCATGCCATGGTTATGAAATAGTTTGAAAGCACCATAAGTATCTTGCGATCGAATTCAGGGGGAGAGTACTTTGATAGTGAGGATGGTGAGTTCCAAACCTATCTTAAACACATGGCATTCAGTCTCAGAGGTCCTACCCAGATACACCTCAACAAAATGGGGCAGTTGAGTGCAAGAATCATCATATTGCTAGTATGGTGAGATCCCTTATACATGATTCACATATTCCCATTCATAGTTGTCAAGACGTCACCTAGGTGACTAGGCACCCAACTAAGGGCGCCTAGCCCAAGCGCCTTGACATTATAGCACCTAGGCAACAAAAATGACAAGGCAGGTGCCTTAAATAATATCATTTATATTGTTCTATCTAATTAATATGTGTATTAAATGCATTTTATTATATGCTATACATATCTAGTTTCCCTGTAATCAGTTGGGAGAGGTTGCAGCTCACACCTCTCCAAGGTTGTAGTTTGAGCTTAAAGTTCTAAAGTATAATAAAAAACAATGTTAAAGTATAGAGAGGTTCTTTTTTCTATTCTATCTCTCTCCCTTAAATGAAATACTAGATCAGGGGCACGTGCATCTGAGGTTTATAAATAGGGTAAAAGAAATATAAATATGACAAAGATATTTTTGAAAACAACATCAAATATATTGCGTGTTCATTGAAAACATATTTTTTATTTGAAAAAAAAAATTAAAGATTGTTATGATTTGTTGCATCAATCTAAATCTTGTTCCAACATAATTTTATTCTTTACGAGGTTTGCATATTTGATTGCAGCATGATAGGAGATAAATTTTATCAAAAAAACTTTTGAAATATCATAGTTGACCAATGATCCAATGGACCAAGTTGATTGCCTGGATAAGTATGTATTACACGTATTTAGTGATCCACGTGATAGGCAATGTGGGCCATTGTGTCTTTGTTGTGGATGGTGGATAGGGGTATAAATCAATCAGATCATGATCCGAAATCCAATCCTATTTTGTTGGATTCGGATATTCTCTTGTCAAATTTTTTAGTTGGATTGGATGAGATAATAGGATCCGATTAAAAAAACGAATCGAATTAGAATTACCCCTATCTGATCCAAAAGAATCCAATCCGATTATTTATATATGCTATTTATTTATTTATAAATATGTTTATATTACTTTTTTGGTACTTTTTATATTATTTATTTTTTTATAAAAGACATGTACATATATGATGAAAATAGTTGAAAAAATACTTGTATAACTGCTATGTTTTTCCTTTTAAAAATTTATTAAAATTTTCAGAAATTAAATCAGATCAAATTAGATTCAGATATCTAGCATCCCTAATGGATCCATATTCAAATTGATGTTTGTGAGATACAATTGGATTGGGTCTACAATTTGTATTATCGATGGGATTCAAATATACCTCGATTCCATCTTGAATATTTATCATATAGAGTTAATAACTTTCTTTAATTGCTAATTGATATGAAATTGCTCTTTTAAATACTTATTATAGTATTATTTTTAAAAATAATAAAATTAATATATGTAAAAGATTTTTATCTTTAGATGTGATGATTTGCCACATTTTTAGAAAAAAGATTAATGTTAATAAATAGAATTGCTATTTTTTAATTAATATAAATGCTGAATGGTATATAAAACTAGGGAATTAGCCAAAAGTCAGTTCTTTATATTATAAAATTCTTATCACCTAGGCGACTGGGCAACTAGGCGCACCGATGTCGCCTAGAATTGCCTAGACGCCTTGAAAACTATGTTCCCATTACCTTCTAGGTGAAGGTGACAAATACAATTGTGTACCTTATTAATATCCTACATTCTTTTGTGTGCATTCATGGGTTACAATTTGGAACACAAGGGATTTCTCTGTTATGATCCCAAGGTCCATCGTCTCCACATATCCCACAATGTTATTTTCCTTGAGAACATCTCCTTTGAGCATATTGTTAAATTACCAACACCATCCATTTTTCTTGTACATTACTCTAGTTCTACAAGTGATCTTCCTCTTAGTCCCCAGTAGCTACAAGTTTACAACATAAAGCATCCAATTCATTTAACACCTATGCCTCCTCCTTCAGCACAAAAAGCCTGGCCATCCTTCTCCACCCACCACCATTGTAAGTTTTTTTCCTGTTACCTTACCTGCATCTACTCCCTTACGTCTCTTATCGTTTTCTCATCCACTTGACCCCTATGGGCTTCCCTCCAACGCTCCTCTATTGTGTTATCTTCAACAGACATACCTTGCTCTTACCACCAAGCACCAAGTTGTAGCATTTAAATATTGGAAAGAGGCCATGAACTCAGAAATCCAAGCCCTATTGGAAAATGACACTTGGGACCTTGTCTCACCTCCTCCAAATGCTTATCATTGAGAGTTGTTGGATCTACTCAGTAAAACTAAAGTCGAATGGTATTCTTGATATATGTAAGGCACGATTAGTAGCAAAGGGCTACAAACAAGAATATGACATGGACTATGATGAAACATTCGCCCCCGTTGCCAAGATTATTATTGTTCACTTACTTTTGGCTATTACTGCTATCAAGCAATGGGTAGTTTATAAAATGAATGTCAAAAATGTCAAGTATTGTGATGATCCCCACTTGGTGTTTAAACTAAAGAAATCTCTTTATGGTCTTAAACAAGCTCCTCAAGCTTTGTTTGAATGTTTCCATACAATGGTTTTGGAAACCAAATTTCAACAGAGTACTTTTGATTATTCTCTATTTATTCTCAAAGCAAACCCAAGGATTAACTCTCCCAGTGATTTAAAAGGCACGCCTAGGCGCTCAGGCGAGGCGCATTTTTGGGTAGGCACCTCGCCCAGGTCCTAGGCGCAGCCCATTCAAAAGGCACACGCCTGGTGCGCCTAGGCGTGTGCCTGGTGCGCCTTGCACCTTAGCCCAGGCATGCACCTTTTGAAAACTTGCAGCTTTTTCCCTTTTTTTGAGTCTGGCCGCTGGGTCGGGAGCTCCGCCCCTAGACCCCCATGCCATGCCCCTCAAGGCCAGCCCAAACAAGTCCATGTTAGGGTCTTAAATTCTTAGATTTCACACAAAAAAAATAATTTTATAGTTTAAATTGCTTTTAAAAAGATATTTTATTAAGATGAATGAATGGACAACATTACCAAATAGGGGGTTCTTGAAGCTCCAATAACATGGACTTGTTTGGGCTTGCCTCGAGGGGCGTGGCACAAAGGCAGCTCGTAGAATTAGAAATGTAATATATCACATTAGCTACTTGATGCAATTGAGAAAAAAAAAAGAGATTGTAGGTCTTATATGTTTGAAAATGTTTTATGTTTGATTTCATTTTTAAATTCTCATTTGAATATGCTTTACATATTATATTTATGTATTTTAATTTTAGATAATAGGTTTTTTGAAACATTTATTTTAAAACTTAAGTTAATATTTTTATTAATATTATGTTTTATAATTTTTTGAATTTTTTGCATTTGTGCGCCTTGCCTCAAAAAGGCGCACGCCTTGCCTTGTGCCTCAGGCACAAAATGGCCCTTGCGCCTTGCGCTTTTAAAACACTAGACTATCCTTTTGGTGTATATCGATGATATCCTGATTACAAGGGATGATGTGGATGGCATTGCAAATCTGAAACTTCTTAAGAGCTCCTTTAAAATGAAAGATCTTGGTCCAGTTACTGCTTTTCTGGGACTCAAAATTAAAAGTTCTCCACAAGGGTATTTTGTCAACCAACAAAAGTATGCCTCTAATCTAGTAAAGATGGCCCGTCTTACTGATTCTAAGCAGGTTGACACTCCATTGGAACTCAATCTTAAATTAAGGATGATGGTAATTTGCTCCCAGATGCTACGCTGTATCAACAACTTGTGGGTAGTCTAATCTACATAACTATGACTTGGCCAGATATCTTATGTTGTTTAGCTTGTTGGCTAGTTTGTTTCAGCTCTTTGTCAAACCCATTTCTTTGTTGTTCCTCAGATCACTCATTATGTAAGGGGGATAATCACTTATGGTTTGTTTTCTCATCCTCCTCTTCTCTTCTTAGAGAATATGCCAATGCATATTAGGCTACTGATTGATGTATCTTCCATGGTGACTCCCTCATTTCCTGGGAATGTAAGAAGCAACACATTGTGTCCAAGTCATCTACTGAAGCAAAGTAACAAGCAATGTCTTCTATCTGCAGTGAAATAGTTTGGCTCAAAGCTCTGCTCCATGATATGGACATTGATCATTCCTCCTCCATTCCTCTCTTTGCTGACAATATAAATGCATCCAAGATAGCACCCAATCCAGTTTTTCATGAACAATCCAAGCATAGAGAAGTGGATTGTCATTTCATCAGAGATCTCCTTGTCGACCATATTTCTCTTCCCCACGTTTCTTCTGGCTTGCAACTTGTCGATCTATTCACCAAAGCTATGACTTGGGTCAGACACATGTTTCTTATAGACAAACTGATACTTGTTCCCCAGCATCAGTTTGAGGGGGAGTGTAGAGAGGGGTAGTTTTGTCTTTTCATATTCTATTGCATACTATTACTGTAATGTATACACTATACAGCATTGTACCTCACTGTAATTTATCTTCTCTTGTAAAGACAATTTTGTCCTTTATGCTTTTAATATAAAATATTGTTTTCTTTCAATGATTTGTGGAGGCATTGGGCAGCAGTGGCAAGTAGTTCCTCGTTAAAGATAAAGGCGCACATGAGCTGGGTACCACCACCTGAAGGTTTTATGAAGTTAAATTTTGATGTTAGTAGTCAGGGCAATCCAGGTTATTCTGGGATGAGAGGAGTTATAAGGAATGAAAGTAGTTCTGTAACTCTGTTATATTCAGGCCCTTTAGGTGAGGGGGACTCCGCTAGGGCAGAACTACTTGCTGCCTTCAAGGGGTAGAGCTTGCTGTACAGCTAGGAATAGAACAGCTAGTAATAGAAGTAGACTCCAAGGTGGTTGTGGGGTGGTTACAGAGACAAGGAATCTTTTTTAGGAGTAGAACAGTAGTTTGGCATTTCAAGAATGAACTTAAAAAATTTAAGTGTTTGACAAGGAATCTGAATGTTAGTGTACAATGAGTGGGGAGATCTGCTAATGCTATTTCTGATTGCTTAGACAAGCAAGGGGCAACTAGGGAACAGTTGTATTGGGCACAATTGTAATCATTTTTAGTTTTTGATGGGTTGGAGAGGTCGCAGCTTGTGCCTCTTCAAGTATCTTTTCTAATTGTTATCTGTTTCTATCCTCTTCCCTAATAAAACCTCTCATTTATCAAAAATAAATATTGTTTCTGGGTTGAGTTCTCATACCAACCGAACAGTCTTTGCCTCTTCCTTGTTTCTTTCTTGTCTAACATTCTTTCTAGGTTAACAGTATTGGTTACTAATTAATAAAATTTCTGGTTGCTAATTATTAAAATAGAGACTAAAGAGGGAAGAAGTAAACATAAGAAGAGGAATAATATAATACCAATCAATCAAAAGGAAATTGTGTGCTATGCTAACTTTAAACCGAGAACAAAATAAGCAGGTTGAGAAGTATAAGAACACACAGAGTCATAGAAAATATAACTAAAGATGAGAGAATGTGACAATTTTTCAATAATCCATATCATTACTAACCATAGAAAGGCAACACAAACTCATGAGGCTTGTTGATTTCCTTGACAGATGCCATGTAGTACATTCCAGCTTTTTCATAATCACCCTAACAAAAGGAATCATAATGTCATCATCTCCATTTAAGAGAAATGTAAGAAGACACCAAATTATCTAAGAAAAATGAGAAGTAAACACAGCATCAAAAACAAGAAGCCTCATGAAGAATTGGAACTATTTAAGACCTTGCTATGGTAAGATCGTGCTAGATTGTAGTATGAGTGAGACTTCATCGGACCATGATTGGTTACAGCAAGTGCAGTCTCAGTCAGTTGCTCAACCAGAAAATGTTGACCAGTAAAAAAGAAGTGATTTGCTAAATAATTCAATGACATTGCACAGTAGGGGTATATCTCAAAAGCTTGTTGCATTTTCTCCATGCCTTTCCGGATTCCATCAGCTATGCAATATTTAATGTGGCAACAAAGTTAGCAATTAAAGACTGCACCATATTTTTAAACAAACCAAGCTAGTCAAATAAACAAAAGAATAAATTAAGCATGTCAAGCAGGTTGCAACAAGAAATTTTTGGGCAGTTTTAATCAGCAATTTACTAGCAGGATTACCTTCATTTGTGTGTAAATCCATGATCCCAAGTGCCACAAGAGCTTCAACATTTTCTGGATCTAACTACAATTCCAAAATTGTGAAAAATATGAGAAAACGACCTCAAAGAAATATGTACCATGTTTAGTGGTAAATAAAAAATAATATATGCATATATAACAAATTACTAAATTTCTTGCCTGCAGAACACGTTGAAATGCCTGTCGAGCCTTTTCAAACTGACCCAGTTTGTAACGACAGAGACCTAGACCAAGCCTCACAGCTCCAGGACAATTAGGATATACTTGCAATGCCCTCTTAAGTAAAGTTCATCCATAAGACTAAATTAGTTTGAGAAACCAATGGTACACCACTTGCAGCAAAAGGTCTTAAATAATTGACAAAGTATGTAAAAAACAAAAGAACAACCAATAAACCTTGTATAACTCCAATGAATCTGAGAAACGTCCACGACTAAACTGAACACAAGCCTGCAGTAAGTAAATTGATAATTAATTAAGAATGAAATAGATAAAATTGATACTCCATTCACACAGAGAACAAAATCCAACACACCTGACCAAGAAGAGCAGGAACATTATCGGAATTTTCTTCCAGCACAATCTTAAATGCAGCAGAGGCCTGTTCCACTTCACCCTTAGCCAGTAAAAGCTGACCTACAAGCAATAGATTATTGCAGAATTTACCAAAACCAAGCACAGAATTTTCATGACTCAGATGTTATTACATTTCAGAAGTGATTCTCAAAATTTGTATAAATGATCAAGGTCCTGTAAAGATGCAAAATTAAGATGGGAGATGCTACATCTAATGTCTTTGAAGAGCCTAACCACCAAGAATGGAAGCCATTGAAGTCGGTCCTTGCAACATCAATAGGGTATTCAAAATCAAATAGTCCAAATAAATTGAGGTATCTCAATACTAATAACCAAGGATTAAAGTATCGGTATCGAGTATCATATCGGACCACTCGGATACAGATACGGATACAGATACGCTTTGGAAACGCATGGATACGGACAAAAAATATGGATACACCAAAAAATGCATATAAATTCCATAAATATATTAATAACATTATATTTAAGATTAAAATAGCCATAATTAATGTAAAAATATATAGAAAATGTATATTCTAAAGGTATATGTGAAGAAATATATTATAGTTAATACAATGGGATGCATAGAAATCATAAAATTTTATTGATAATGTATCAATCAAGAATCCTATAACATATTATATATTTTTTTACAAATTAATACATGCATAAAGCTATTATTATGTTATTTTCCACTGCATTTCAAGGCACAAAACATATGCAACTATTATACATGAATAATTATATTGATTATTTTCTATTTTATTATTTTTAATTTTTAATATTAACCAAAAGTCAACTAAGAATTAATTCTCAAATGTTTAGTTAACAATATTTTTATTTTTGTAAACAATAAACATGTTATTATAAAATGTAATTAAAATATCAATTAAAAATTTATAAAAATATATAATATTAACATAAAATATATCAAATATATAAAATTTTCTAAGATTCACATCATATGCAAATTCATAATTTTTTACTAAAATAAGTATTCCATTATTAACATTTTTTCCATAAATTTTGAGATAAAATATCATTTTTGATATAAATGCAGAATAATGGATTTCACAAATTCAATTTATATTATATTCTTGAGTATTTTATAAATAACATTTTTATTTTTGTAAATAATATATATACTTTTATTTAATTCAAATTAAAATAGTAATTAATAATTTATTCTACTATTAATATCTTTATTCGTATAAATTTCTTGAGATTAAAAACCACTTTTTTGTAGAAGATTAAAAACCACTTTTTGATATAAATGTGGATTTAAGAAATTACTTATTCTATTAGTTTACAAAATATTAGTTTTGAATATTATTTTTTATTGAATTGGACACAAATGTATGTTATTTGTCCGCATTACATGTGGACACCAGAATTGATAAAAATAATATTCTATTTCACTTGTCATAGCCGAAATGTGGTCTAGTGGATTAAGAGCGCAAATAAGCCTTTAGCGCTTGGTGATTTGGGTTCGAATCACTCTAGTCACATTTTTTACAACTAATGCACGAATAGAAAGACGTTGATCTGTATTTCCATATCAGAAATATGGAAAAAGGTCAATGATTGGAGGGTGGTCTAGAGATTGGGATAGTAAGTTTGTGATACAAGCCAAGGAAAAGGTCAATGATTGGAGGAGGGTAGCTGATTTACTGACAACTAGGTTGAAGCTGAAAAGAGTCTTCATAGTAACCCCCTTCGATAACTGTAAAGCTCTCTTAGATCCAGTATAGAATGAAGTGGAAAATATCAGTTCTCAATTTTCAAGATGAGTTAGGATCATTCATAGTCTTCAAATGGAGTCCAACATCTAACTCCAAGGATTTCTTTGTTGAAGATGGTGTGGTGGTGCGTGTATTAGGCCTGCCATTTCATCTGTGGAAATAAGAAGTAACAGAATCTATAGTAGTATTGTGTGGAGAACACTTAGAAGGAGCATTCTGGGGTGATCTTTATTCAGCAGCAATTATGCCAAGTGGTGTGAAGCCAGAAGATATTCCACAGAAGGTAGAGAAACGAACAGAGGTGAGTTTCGTCTCTATGTGGCTAGCATCCTCCATTGAAGCAGGGCTGTGGAAGGAGGCTCACATGGAAGGAGGTGAAAAGGAGGAAGAAGAAGCTCTACGTGGATTTATGAGATTGGCTAGTTCAAATGGGAAGGAATGTTTCACTAAAAAGGGCCAACAAATTCTGGGAAACCTTCTGACAACTGGCAGATCTTAAGCGCAGGTGGCTTCAGGGGAAAAAGACAAAAATTTCCAAGTAGGTAAAGGGGGAGGGTTGAACCAGCAACCTCAGAGTGGTTCAAAAGGGAAGGTTGCTGGTTCGACTCTTAAAACAGGGGGCGTGACCTTTTAAAAGGTCATGTGGGAGGAAAAGAAGTAGGAAGTGGGCCTACTCGAGTGGATCCCATTCCTGATGGGCCGGAGAAGACAGCCCAAGTAAAAACCAGTGTTCCATTTAAAAGGTTTGAGCCCAAGGCCCAATCCAGGAAAGATGGGCCAAGGGACTCTTTAAGTACTCACATGACTGGGAGGAGGGATGAGTTGATGGACGATAATAAGCGTCTATCTTCTTCCACTTCGAATCCCTCCTTTTGGTTGAATGCTTCATGCGCAAGGTTTCAAGCTTCTCAGTCTCGAGGCTCTTTACAGTAGGTCCCATCCAACACGGCGAACCGTCTCACATGATAGGCGCAACCCAAGATGTCTGAAACATAGCAATGCTAATAGAACAGAGATCAAAGACTGGTCGAGTGAACAAGACAGCAGTGATGAAACTGTAAATTTGGGAAGCATGACTCTAAAAAGCAACAACGAGCTACTTGAAACAGAAATTCTGCATACAGAGCTGCTGTTTATAGAGGAAGAGATCGAAAATGTAGGTTGCGGGAAGACTAGAAATGGTGAAGAAATTGGTCCTAAAGCTGTGCAAGCTCCCCTCCCCTCTGCTGAGGGAGTTGACCCTGAGTCTAATGAACTGCAGGATGTTGGTGGAGAGGGACAGAAATCTGCCATGAGGCGGATGTGGGTAATCCAGTGTCGGAAACACAGAGAAAGGAATTCCAAGTGGGTAGGTTGTCAGGAAGTGATACTTTCACTGTGTCTATTTCACAACATTGTCCAGAAAGGGGAAAGGCCTAAAAACCAAATGAAGCCTGTCAGCAACACAAATCCAGTAATCCTAATCCTACCCCCGTCCTACCAGGTATGGGTGTCATTTCTTTTTTGGGTACTGACTTGTGTGGCATGCCTGTAACAGATATTCCAGCTTCCCATCCAGGAGATCTTGATGTAAGAGAGAGGATGATAGTGGAACGAGGAGAGAGAATGGTGGAAGGAAGTAGTAAGGGGGAGGTAGACAGAATCTGGAATTTGATTTGTACAGTGCTGGAAGAACTAAAAAAAGGAAGGAGTAACAGAGAGCTGTTGTAGCCAAAATGAGTGTGAGCATGGTAAAGTTCTATTTCAGACAGTGGCTAGAAAGGATGGAGAGAAGGAAGAGGATGCTTATTGTATCAAGAAGGGAGGGAAAAAAGGAATAAAGAAGAAAAAAAGATCTGAGGTGGAAAGGTTAATCTCAGACATTGAGGGAGATTTAGAATTTAGTGGCAGAGGGGAGAGGAGGAAGGGTCTAAAATAAGGAGACTAAGGCTTCTTCATGGGTGTTTTGCTATTTTTGTCTCGATGAAAATTATCAGCTGGAATGTAAGAGGTCTAGGGAGTGCAAGAAAGAGGAGGGTGATCAAAGATCTACTCCGAAGGGAAAAACCCGACATTTTGTTGTTACGAGAATCCAAACTGATGGAATTAGATGGGAGATGGGTTAGGAGTTTTTGGAGGTCTAGAGGTGTAGGTTGGACTTTGTCTCCTTCCTGCGGAGCCTTGGGGGGGATCGTAATGCTATGGAGGGAGGATGTGGTGGAAGTAGTAGAAGAATTGATAGGCAGATTTTCCATTTCCATTAAATTTAAGAATGTAGAGGATGGGTTGTATGGGTTCTAACCAACGTTTATGGCCCTAACTCCTATAGAGAGAGAAATGAGATGTGGGAGGAATTATACGCAATCAAGGGGTTATGGGATGCCCCTTGGTGCCTGGGCGGGGATTTTAGTGTCATTAGATTCTCTGAAGAAACCAATAATCCCCAACAGGTAATCACAACAAGTATGAGGAAATTTAATGGTTTTATTGAAGATTGTGAGTTGAAGGAAATACCTCTGCTGCAAACCAGTTTTACTTGGTCCAACCTTCAGGAAACCCCTTTGTGCTCGAAGTTGGAAGGATTTTTATTTAACCTAGCCTGGGAGAATAGTTGGGAAAACGTAGTTGCTAGAGCATTACCTGGGGTCACCTCTGATCACTATCCTATCCAAATAGGCACCGAGACTTTTCCTACTGGACCCAAACCTTTTAGATTTGAAAATATGTGGCTTACCCATCCAGATTTTGTGAAAAAAAAAAAAAAAAAGTGAAGGAATGGTGGGGTGAGGAGGTGAGGGGGGTAAGATGGAAGAGGGTCAAGTTTCATAAGAAGTTAAAAAGGTTGAGAGACAAAATAAAAGAGTGGAATAGAGATCAATTTGGCAGAATTGAGGAGAAAAAAATTAGCCTAATCTCTCGAATAGAAAACTTGGATGTAAAGGAATCCCAAAATGGTTTGACCGAGGATGACAAAGTGTTAAGGAGACAATTGAAAAAGGATTTGGAAGAGGTTACTAAGGGAAGAAATTAGTTGGACACAAAAATCTAGACACAAGTGGATTAAGGAAGGCAATGGGAACACTAGATTTTTCCATGACTTGGCCAATGGGAAACGAAGAAAGAATTTTGTGACCAAGCTAGAGATAGGAGAGGAGGTGATTACCAACCAGGATGACATAGCCAAAAAATTTGTGGACCACTTCAAATCGATCTATAGAAGACCTTTGAGTGAGAGAGCAGTCGTGAGAGGGATGGAATGGCAAGGTGATTGGAAAGGAATTTTGAGGAAGAAGAGAATAAGAAAGCTATCTTTCTAATGGATAGATCCAAGGCTCC